ATTTGTTGATAGTTTACAATTAGGTATACCTATCAGACCGATCAGTATGTTTTGTGACAACCAGTCTGCCATCTCATTAATAAAAAGTGGAGCAAATAGCTCTAAGAGAAAACATATTGATGTTAGTTACCACTATATTCAGAACATAGTGGAGAGAGGTGAAATAAAAGTCAACTATATACCCTTAGAAGAGATGGTGGCTGACCCTATGACCAAAGGGTTGTCTCTGGAAAAATTCAGAGAACATATAGCTAATATGGGATTGAAAAAAACCTAGCTAGGTGGCTTAGCTACTTATATAATAGCATAGTCGGATGACTCTGGGGACGCCTAGATAACTGATGTTTTGCGACTCTATCTTGCATGGAAACATGTGTTTGGTCAGGTAACAAGATAGAGGAACTGACAAGGTACGGATATCATAATTAGCATGAGATGTAAAGTCCATAATATGCAAAGTGCTAACTAGATGATATTGTCTGCTTGATCAACAAAAAGTCATTGATAAGGTGTGTTAAGGAAAACCTTCAGGAATGGGTCTTAAAGGAAGTACTTAACAATAATTTCAATGCAGGTCGACACATGAAAAATGTGTACGGCTGAAGTCGTCAATGGTGACTGGGTATGGACTATGAACCCATTACTGAAAATTGATGCCGTTTACTTGTTATATAGTGAATTGAAGTCATCTGGAATGTGTTATCAGTGGAAGAACACATTTGTACGGGTGCGGTTAGATTGGAGACAAAAACGTGCGCACGTATGGCCAAGTCACAATCAGACGTCGATCTATGAGGTAATTTCATAGATGAAAGTTGGCATGAGGCAAAATTTTGGTACCAAGGTTAAAAATGCTCAACTCAGGTTTATCATCTTATTATGGTGTGTTCAAGTGGGAGATGATGGAATAAAGAGTGACCACACCATAAATTGGTGTGACTCACTTCACTGAAACTTCTCTCATATGCAGTGTAATAAACCTTCCCGCAAGACATAGAACAATCTGGAAGTAATTTGGTGTTTGAATTTAAACACAAAGAGACACAATGCTTCATAGCATTGTATCTATTTCCATACATCATGATAACTCTTGGCAAAGGTTATCAAAGCACTTATAAATAGTTAGAGATGTAGTTCTTATACTTTACTTCAATCAAAACCCAGAAAACAGTATACATATATAAACATTCCGTTTGCTTCCGGATTGGCTATTTTGTCTTGCGTGATAAACACCCTCACGGGCTAATCGATCATTACTATTGTTCAGTTTATCTTTCAGTATTGAGAGTAAATTATAACTCTAAATAATTTAATTGAATGTACTGAGAAATTAGACGTACTTAATGATTTTTTGAGTGCAAATAGAAACTCCTATCCTGCAATCACAAAATGTCAAAATATTTATAATTTTAATATACTTTTTACATGTTTCAAAACATGTTTATATTAGAGAGATTTGGTGATAGACCCTCGCTGTCTAATTTGTTTTTCAAAAGGACAAGAATTATATAGGTACTTTCAAAATCTCTTAATATTTTAAAACTTGTTTCTTTTACTATACTACCCTCATATCTATCAGCTCTCCTATTAAGCCATCCTCACAGTATATTGTCAGAGCAAAATTTTATTTTGAATCATAGTAAACTTTACTCTGATTCAAAGTAAAAGTTTACTCTGAAAGTACAATTTTACTCTGAATCAGAGTAAAGTTTACTATGATTTAAAGTAAAATTTTAAATTTTGTACCCATTCCACTTTCACAAACTGATGACGAACCAGATCTAAGGACTCTGTTGGTGCGCCATTGTTGCCTTTATATCTAAAGCCCTCAGATCTGAATCTCTCGCCTTTTAACTTTCTCAAACTCGTTTTCATCGTTTTCCTTCCCAACATGACAACACGAGGAATAGAGTAAAAACATGAGGGTTTGGGTGTAGTGGATCTGAGAAGAGAGAAAGAGATAGAGAGATTTGACCACGCTGCAGTGGAGGCGACATCGAGGACGGTGGTGAACCGACGGTGAGAACTAACCTTTGGTGGAAAAATCCAACTAGTGATGCATACTGTCTTCTCAACCTCGTCATTGGTGAGAGATCACGAACCGATGATGATAATGATGTAGAAGATTGGGAAGATGGGAGGTTTTGTAGTCATTGCCGGCGATGGTTGTGGCAGCGGAGGTGAGGTACTCGGCGGAGGATCAACGGCGACTTCTCGGTCGGGCGATGGGGGAGATTGACTGAGATTAGGAAAAGGAGAGGATATAATAGTCTGATAAAATATCTAAATAATAAATTTTATTATTTATACAAGACTTTATAATTATAAGAGGGTTTTGAAAGTATAATTTTTTTCTTGGTCCTTTTAACAATAAAAGGAAGGTAAGAGAGGTTTATAGCCAAATTTCCCTTTATATTATTTGTATATACTTTTTAGGGAGATTGACTCATAAATCTCAGATGGATGACTTGTAAACTTTACAGTCCCAATTGTTTTTTAATAATCTCAGAAGTCTCATTTTGTGGCAATTTACGTTTCTAGCCATAGAGTATGAGATTAAGGTTCATTTATACATTTTGCGTATGTTACAGGACTGTCACGTTTAGAAAAAAGCACTATAGTCTTTTTTGGGCTGTTACATTAGTTTGGCCCACCCACGTCATTTAAGCCACATTTTTGGACCCAAACGTACCCAGTTTACCAAATATTTGGTCCACCTCTATTCGGGTTAGGCAAAACTGTATTGAAGTTCGAAGTTACAGAGGAAACGATCCACATCGGAGTGTTTCATGGGTGATGGTTGAGGGTCACGTATACAGCTAACATCGTTTCTCCGTCATCGGCTAACATCGTTTCTCCATATACGGCTAACATCGTTTCTCCGTCATCGGCTGAAATGTGACCACATTCCACTTTAGAGAGAGCAAAATACACCCCCATCGACGCAATTAGTGAACTACATTCAGACTAATTGTGGCAACCTACCTTGATATATTTGATATTATTTGGAACCCAAATTTGCGAGTTTTAGAAATTCCCAAATTTGGTGCACATCCGATTTGGTCTGGAAATTCTTTTGCGATTGTAGATTTGGAAGAGTTTCGTAGTGTGGCGAGCATGTAGGTAAGTCACGTATGCAATATTGAGGCTATCATATTGCCGGATTGGTAGGGGTGTAATTGGTACGATGTGATTGGCATCAAAACCCACATTGATAAAGGAAATAACCCCCACATCCTACTAAATCAGCGTCCGTTTGAGAAAATACCACAACGGTGATATGGGTTTTTGGCATATGAATTGTGGTTGACACGTTTGGTACCCACATGAACATTTGGTTTGCTCAACCAAAACAGTACTTCTTTTGGCAATGTGCTGCTTTTGGCAATGTACTTCTTTTGGCAATGTGCTGCTTTTATGACAAGTATGGTACTATGGTGGTTTGTATTCCATTTTGCGTGAATGATGTGGCAATGTGTGTGGTGTTTTGCAAACTTTTGCGGTTATGTCGTGAAATGTGCTCCTATATGATGTGTCAATATGTCCGTTTAGGTGAATGGCGAGGTTTAATCTTAGTTGTTTTTTGTGTGGTCAGGTTGGTCAGTGAGTGGTAATGTGTGCATACCCATACCCGTCCATTGTCTGGCACAAAAGATTAGCCCCCTCCATCGTCCTTTCCATATCGGAAACGTAGCACTGGGATTTCCATACTTGCCAAAAACATTATCCATAGGAACAAGGATAAAAAAAAGTTACAGAATCCACTCCCAAACACACAAACAGGATCTTGTGGTGAACATTAGCAAAAAAAATAAGACTTCCAAGAGTGTTAAAAATAAGAATAAATTACAAATATAACCCCTAAAATTTGCTTAAAATACAGATTGTCCTCTATAGTTTGAAAAATTACAAATAACCTCCTTTTAGAATTTTTTATTTAACAAAATTAACTAAAAAAATGAAATTCATAATTGGTCTCCTATACAATAATAAAATTACCTAAATTGTTAATTTAAAACATATTTTTAATATCATTAAAAATTATTAATTGACTTGATGATTTATTAATAAAATGGGCGATTTGTTATGAAATTAAAAATCTCAAGGTGCGGAATATAATTTTCAAAACCACACAGGGCGATTCGTATTTTAATCAAATCTCAAGAGGTATATTTATAATTTATCCTTTCAGTCCAAAACTGCATACCCATACCCGTCCATTGTCTGGCACAAAAGATTAGCCCCCTCCATCGTCCTTTCCATATCGGAAACGTAGCACTGGGATTTCCATACTTGCCAAAAACATTATCCATAGGAACAAGGATAAAAAAAAGTTACAGAATCCACTCCCAAACACACAAACAGGATCTTGTGGTGAACATTAGCAAAAAAAATAAGACTTCCAAGAGTGTTAAAAATAAGAATAAATTACAAATATAACCCCTAAAATTTGCTTAAAATACAAATTGTCCCCTATAGTTTGAAAAATTACAAATAACCTCCTATTAGAATTTTTTATTTAACAAAATTAACTAAAAAAATGAAATTCATAATTGGTCTCCTATACAATAATAAAATTACCTAAATTATTAATTAAAACATATTTTTAATATCATTAAAAATTATTAATTGACTTGATGATTTATTAATAAAAAAGGCGATTTGTTATGAAATTAAAAATCTCAAGGTGTGGAATATAATTTTCAAAACCACACAGGGCGATTCGTATTTTAATCAAATCTCAAAAGGTATATTTATCATTTATCCTTTCAGTCGAAAACTCCTCCAAATGAGATTTTTCAATAATTTTCCCAACTTTTTTATATATTTCAATATATTTTTTACACATTTTTCAACACTAACGATTGTTTTAGCCTTTTTTATTCTTCCAATGTAATTATTTATTTAAAATCCAAATGATAATAATAATAATAATAATAAAAAATCAATCAATCAATGCAAATACAACGCCAATAACAACAAACAGTTTTTACTTCCTCTTTTTTTTTTTTTTCATACAAGAAAAAGAGTTAGATATTAATAACTTACAAACAGAAAAGAAATGGGAAATCCTCATTATACAAAATATTCAAGAACAAATAAAATGTCCAAACATAACAAACCCAATTCTCCTTTGCTGGCATGAACTTCTCCCAATAAAAATTAGAGGCTATTCAGGAAGTCCTCATATCAACTTAAGATAACATGTAATTATCAGTAACACACTTGTTTTAACACCACACACATATCTGTAGAAATTACAGTTCTCTGAAACACAACCAGTCGGACTCCAAAAAAATCTCCTCTATGTTCAAAGAATTAGCGCACTAGATGATCGCTGAAAGTGCAACTACATGAAATCAAGATTGTGACTTCAAGGTGGCACAAAAATGGCATCCTGGCTTTTGTAGGTATTTACATCGAGATGCTCATATAGAGGTCTCAAGAGAGGACCTGTTCAGGTCAACAAGTCTTCACGCCACAACGACCAGCACGTGGGTTTCTACACCAACAGTTTCCTTACTGTATCAAGGACTATGAAAATTTCTTAGGTGATCAACTACATCAGAGGAACAGCTGAGCCGCTGAAAATCAGACCGACGAAGGACATTTGCTTGGATATGGCCAGAGTTGTCTTTATTATCCATATTCATAGTCTTGCCTGAGAAGCTGTGACGCACACGGATTCGGTGACTTCTGGTCTCAGTTGTGCAGCTGCCACGCACTTTGACCACCAATATGACTTCCTTATCTCTGGCATCTTCACACCACCAGTTTCGAGGGACGCCATCGACGAACTCCTCCAGCGTCTGGAAGTCCTCGCGACGAACCGAAATTTCCACAATATGATCTGGTTTGATTATGCCAGCTGCTGGACTGACCTGTTTAGAAGCACAACTAACTGATAAGGCAAATTTAATTTTATATATAGAGATTCCACCTGTTTGGTTTTGTTTTCATTCTGTGGTTGTGGTCCATAATAAAACAAATTCACAGATCTTTGCCTTGACATTGAAGCAATGATGTAAGCTGATCTCAGATTTGGTGTTGAATAAGCAATGAAAATGTTCCAGAGCAAGCTCATATCAGTCAACAAATTTAAATGCATGAAATAAGAGTAACATAGCCTGTCGTGCAAACAGGTTGGCAAAATAGTATTGTTGATTTAGAAATTGACTAGGATCAAGGACCAACAATCGGTTCATATAATGATTCGATACTAATTTATATCTAATGATGCACTTGCCAAAAAAATTAATAAAACCTATTTTACCTCCCCATGGTTTGGCCATGGAGCATTTCACCCCCCTTGACATTAAAAAATAGCCAAAAAGCCCTCCTATGGTTATGGCTATTTTGCACTTTGCACCTCCCTACATCGTTAGTTCTGTCCAAATTGACAAAAATTGTGCTACACGCTCCTAATTTGAGAATTGACATACATGCTACAATGAAAGAGCATTCATTATCATGTAAAAAGCTGGAAATTACCTCAAGCCATCGAGGAAAGCCAAAAGAACCTCTTGGACGATGATTGGATGCTTGTCCATTCTCCTTGATGGAGGACTGTCCTTCACAAACTATTTCAAATATAGCTTTGTCTTTCACGCATTTATTTGTAATCCGCAAAATGGATGTGTCCTTGTTCTGAAGAATTATGTTGTTTGTACTAACAATAGTTTCTGGAACCTTGCGTAGTTCTTCAAGCATAAACCTGATGTTCTCATTAGATCCAATAATTTCTCCAAACTCTTGTCTCCTTATTGACTCATCTACTCGAGCAATCTCAACGCTAAACACGCAACGGACAGGCTTGTGATCACTGTCTGTCACATCCATGCAAGCCTCATACCTAATAAAAGGACAAGTCATTCCTTGAGAAGGGAGAAAAAAATATAACATATGAAGCAGGGAAACCAGGTATAATAGATAGCAATTGTTACATACCTTCATGCAATGGGAAACCAGGTATAATAGATAGCAATTGTTACAAACATTCATGCAATAATGTTTCATCAGACCCTCATCGAATCACATTCAACCCCCAACCCGACCAGACAAAAAGCAAAAAAAAAAAAAAAAAAAAATGGTGCCCCAAAGCCCCAGGCACATATAATGAACCTCAACAGATATCAAAAACCATCAGATCATCAGACACGTTATTTCTCTAATAAGAAACCACAATTTGCGATCTATATGTAGATGGACGGCTATATTTTCCAGTAAAAGAAACCTGAGGATGAATGACTCACATATGGGAGCATGACCCTATGGCCTTAACAAAGATGGTTGTAGGAGATCATTATTGACTGTAAAAATTGATTTTTATGCTAGGAGTGGGGAGTGGGTACATGTTAGAAATATACATATATGTGTTGGGTTCATGTTTGCACATATGAACCCGTACGGAAACTTACAGTGAAATTGAAGAGACTACAGGACAATCTGAACCACAGGAAGATACTGAGGTTGAGCGGCTATCACGATATAAAATTCTGTCACACCATGCAGAATGCGTTTCTTTTCACCAGAATCATACCCTAAAAGAAAGAAAGATCAGCAAGATTAGACCCTAAGAAGACACTTCAAAACTTACGCCACAAAGAGAGTATGTAAATGAAACAATTTTTTCATCTGATCATAAACTAGTTAGATGAGGTTACAAAAGAATAGACACAAACAAGTTGAAATCGAGTTCAGGAAAAACAAACTGATACAACCAAACTATATTCTCACACAATCTATAGCAAAAGGTACCTGCTAAACCAGCTTGGTGCCTTTCAAATTTGTATGTTGGAGGAAATCTAATTACGGCTTCACGCATTCCTTGAAAGACATTTCCAGCTTTCATTTCTGCTTGCAGTTGATCCCTTTCTCTAAGCCAATCAAAGCATCTTTGAGAAACAAAATCCCTTGCTTCATCATAAGATATACCATCAAGCCGATAGTTGAAGTCACCAAGAAATACAACCATGTCCGCCTGAGATAGCTCAGGTATCCCTTCCACAGAATTGATACCCATGCCCTGCACAAGCATCGAAGCTTTAACTTAAAACAAAATAGAATGAGTTCTCCAACAAGATATCTGCAATACTAATCAAAGTAAAAACATACATTTACACCACAAAGCATTTGAATGGAAGATGAGACTCCAGCTGCAATAAGAAGGACCAATGGCAATCGAGAACGATAAACAAGCCAACATAAATACACTGAACAGGCAAGCAAGCAAGACAAAAACAGGTATGGCACCATACCAGCTGCAGCATTGAAAAGGTTAGATGGCCTACTGAAGATCATTGTTCGATACACATGATCAAAATCAGCATTGCGGCGATTGACAGCTTCCAAGTGTGCAGCAAAGTGACAGTTCACAAAGCACATTATTCGACCATACACTCTCATCCTCAAACCAACAGCTCCCTGGTAGGATGACCTTTAGCCAAATTAATAATATGAATAGAAAAAGATTTAAAAAAAAAAAAAAAAAGATGGCACACATTCAAACAGTATTAAGCGCCCTGAAATCATGGAGGTGAACATTTTTATGCCTATAGGGGGGATGGATAGCCAAATCAATCCAACGAATTACCAATTTAAAAATGTGATCAACAGTGGATTATTAAATCAATTAGCCCTTTCTAAAAATAAAAATAAAAAATCAATTAGCCAATTCCAATATATCAATTGAACATTCAATTACAGTAATAAAACAAAGTAGAAAAAGCAACATAACAATATTCATGGAGAACTCTTGGGAGTAACAATCCACGTGAGTAAAAAACTACAGGCCACCCTACCTTGTGAAACAATCTGCTAAACAAGAATTCAAATACAAGACTCGAGTAAGACAACTTAGAACTCAACCTCAGATGCATTTAGTCTAGACATCTTTCTTTCAAGCTCGTAAACTCAAACTCCACTCGCAAGTGGCTGTGACATAGTGCTGGAAATTTGTGTTAATGTATATAATATGATAGTGGTGTTGGTGGCATGTATAGAATATGATAGTGGTAGATAGTGGTAATATATAATATGTAAGTGGCATATAATGGTTTATAATGATGTTTGTAATATCTCCTATATAAGGAGTGTCATTTGGTCTTGTAAGATAAGAAGTTTTGAATATAACAGAAATATATTCCTTCTTCCTCATATTTTCGGAGTTCTTCTTCCTCATATTTTCTAAGTCATAGCTGTCAACCTTCTCTTGTCTAGATATCAGCTCCTTGCGGCTTGTTAGATGTCAAAAAATAACTAATGTATAGTGGATGATCAAAGCGCATTAAAGGATGCGTGGTTTTTAAACACTTAAAAGAAGAGTTTCTGCAAATCAATTTTAATGCACATGGCAAAATAAGTATTCTACGAAATCAATATGAATTAGGTCTCTTAGGTATTTAGAGGGCTTTTGAGAGGTAGGGGCTGCTCTAGTAATATATATATATATATATGTATTTTCAACTGAAAAACATTAGCCCCTTGTATAGTTTTCCCAAACTAGGTTGTGCACTCACTTCCAAAAGGCTTCGTGTGTGCCTCTCAGGACAGTATTACATGGATTCTTCTATTTTCCCCCATAGTACCCATAGCCACCGACTAGGACAAGCGTAAGTGTGTGAGATATGTGCACGACACTTTACCCAATTCAGACACTAGAATCCTCTAATTTTATATAATGATTGAAGGGGGGAAAAAAACTCAAATTTGCTAGTTAAAAAATATTTCTTGCCTCTCACATAGATGAGAAATAGAAATTCCATATTCTGTAAATCCTATTTAATTTCCAGCATTTCTAAATAGCTTACATCATCTTATTTAAGAGTGTTATACAATATATAAGTGTTCAAAACATGTCCAATACCCATACCCAACTTTTGAATGCAAATTTTAATATCATATATTTAGGTTCAGGAAGTTTTGACAATTGGATACACACTCACGCCTAATGCTCATACCTGAGTCCATGTAACATACATGCAATCTGCAGACTAAGCACCTCCCCACTCGAGCTCACTTTGAGTAGCTTCTAGAACAGGGCCTCTAGATAAACAAAATTCTAAATCATCGCCACCCTACTTGAGTCAACCAACACCCTGCTCTAGCAGGCTTTGAGCTAGCTTTAAGCCGGACACACTGGTCTCACCTACACTGCTCTGTTTTGTACACTTCTAGTTAAAATATATAGAGACTAAGATAGGTCATCCCAGGCCAATTTGACACATTGCCTGACGGCCTTAAGGCCCAACGTAGCCTATTTAGGGCCTTGAATAAAGTAGGCCCAAGAGAACATATTTGGGTTGAGCCCACATTAATTAACATGATGAATAAAATTAAAAATAAATGACAAGTCATTAATATTCTGGAATATTTTATTCATAAATTTTCTAAAGAAGCTAGAGTACAGTGTGAACAGAGCAACCCAGTTGCGTACATTGAACTTGGACATGGAAATACGAAATCATACATATGCTGACGCATACGTATGACATCATCAATGGAAAGAACTTAAAAATCTTCAACAAAACGGACAACTCTGATCTGTAAACTGGTTTGAAACATCATTCTTAGATCTTCAACTCTGATAAACAAACGGATTTGATGACCTGGAGGCTGTAAACCCCCAATAACTTCACCATGTATGCCGCTAATAGTTTTGTGCAATCCACCAGAAGGATCAGCAACACCATCTGTGTCATGACCCGAACCCGCCCCCATGGGTTAAGGACATAACCGGCCAGTAATCACGAGATTACCTACGGCCTCAAACCAAATAAGACATAACTCATCAGAGTAAAAGGGCCAAACGGAAGCAATTTCAACCTTTTGTCCATAGAGCTGTGCTTATATGGCACATCATAACAAACCATACATATATATATGTTAATAACTCACATCAAAATATGTACTAACACAAAGTTCTGTACATATAGGATCATTCAAGTCTAGGTCAGCCAATTAAAACTATATACAAACGTATCCAAAGTCCTCGCCAACATGACAAAATAAAACAAGATAGCAAAAGGGCGAAGACGAGTCTCATGCGTGAGACGCAAGGGCTGACTCTTCAAAACCTTGGTTGTTCTACACAAACTTCACTGGGGCTGGGTTTGGACCTCCCTTGGCTCACCTACGGACACATGAATGAGCGTGAGCGAAAGCCCAGTGAATAATATCAAATAAAGAAGTTATACAAACGGTATTTAGAACAACGTGCTTCAAATGGCCATGGGCCCAATTCGTGTTTCTATCTAGCATATATATATAAATATAGGTCAGGTGACTGCGGTTCCAAACACATCATACGGCCTCGGGTCCAATTCATTCGTGTCATACGGCCTCTGGCCCATTCATTTATATCATTCATGTCGTACGGCCTTTGGCCCATTTATTCGTATCATTCATGTCAGACTGGCCTTTAGCCCAACCATTCTTCCATCCATATCAAGCTGGCCTTTGGCCCATTCATTCTTTCATTCATGTCAAACTGGCCTTTGGCTCATCCATTCTTTCATTCATGTCAAACTAGCCTTTGGCCCACTCATTCGTGTCAGACTATTTTTCGAGTCAGACTATCATTCGTGTCAGACGGCCTCCGGCCCATTCATTTATAGCAAACGGCCTTAGGCCCAACCATATGGCATAGCAAACATTTGTCCATAATTCAATTCAACAATCTCATAACACTTATTGAAAAATAAGTAATTGGACAAATAACGTACTTCGAATATCTTTATTAAGCTATTACTCACAGTGATCGGCTAGATGATTTGCCCTGGAGCTCGACCCTACACATTCTATGAACATAATGGATTACAAACAATTCAATCCGTTCTTAATTCACATAGTCCTCTTTGGGCTTCTTTCTTATTCTTTTAATTCATTCATAATACTCAATGCATGCCTAAGAGTACTTAGAAGTGAAAGAGAACGGAAAACGAGACACAGAACACATTTACAAAATTTCAGAAACAGGGTCCCCACTCGAGCGGACCCATTAAGTCTGCAAAAGTACTAGTTGCCTTGTTTTTACGCTCGAGCGTGAACTCGGATGCTCGAGCTGAAGGTTATTCTACATAGCTCTCCCCTCGAGAGTGAATATCCCCGCTCGAGCTGACATCAATGTCTGCAAAATATTCTAGGAGCTCGTATTTTACGCTCGAGCGGCAGTTAACCCACTCGAGCAAACGTCAAGAATTCTAGATTTTCCAGAACTTGTTCTTGAGCTCAAATCCGACCTTCAAAGGTCCAAAACCCACAATTCTGGTTTCAAAACATGCAAATACAATATACATCATGAGTATACAAGCAAGATGAGGTCAATTGCTCAAAATCATGGCCCAATTCTTCAAAATAAATCAACATTCCTTTAGTATAATTAAGGCTCATGCATTCAACCCTCATATAAGCTTCATATCTTCCATAATCAAATATGCATGTCAATAATATGGTGCAAATGGTGTTCATTCTCATGAAGCTCAACTAAAACCATGCTTGCATGTATGATTCAACCCCCAATCTTTCATAATTCACATGTTACATGCTAGATTATGTAATTTTATAGGAATTCTCTACATGCATGCACACATGCACTTCAATCTCAGCTTAATCAATATGATCTAACTCACCAATTAATCTTCAATTCACAAAACCACAACTCAAACTCATGAATTAAGGGTTAATTACTCACTTAGGAGCTTTAATCTTCCAAGCTTATGCTTAATTCTTTAGTGGGTCTTCAAATCATTCAAGCTTCAAGATCAAACTTCAATTGTTTCCCTCTCTCTCTTTCTAGCCGACCCTCTCTCTCTTTTCTTAGAGTTAAAATCAGCCAAATTGAATAAAAGAGAGGAATTGAGTGAAAGTGGCCCATTTATAAGCTCCTACTCAAACACATTATTTTAATACTAATTAACGCTCAAGCAAAGTGAATGAGGGTGTAAATTGGCCCTTTATAAGCTCCTTCTCAAACACATTTCTTTAATGCTAAATAATTGAGCACCATTTCATTAATTTAATCTATTTAATTTGATCCAAATCAATTTTCAATTAAATTTCACCGTAGGCTATAAAAATTACGCTAATCACAATGGCGTAGTCAATTTTGATTTCTGTGGCCGATATGGCCTTCAATTTAAATTCCAAAGCAGATAATCAAACAGATATTCCTACGGTGAACAGATAGAAATTCAAAACCACATATTTTCACATAAATGGCACACAAAGTCATATTAAACACATAATCACATTCATAATAAGGACCAATTAGCATAATACGGAACAGGGTTATCACAATCTATAACAATGGGCAAACTAAAATGAGTTTTCCTTCTTTCTGGTTGAACATTGTTACCAATAATAACTTCACCAACATGAATAAATCCTCTTCTTTCAATTGGACTTTCCAAATAATTTCCAATAAAACTTAAAGATACGTGTGTCATTAACACGTATTGTCTGCTACCAAAATCGTTTGAAGGATGGACATTAAATTCATAATAATTTGTGTTAATATCAACTGAAGGTATATCAACAAAGAAGGGGAATGTGAATAACTTTTTCATTTTATGATAAAATGAAAAATAATATGGACAATGTAACAAATATATTGTTACACAATTTACAAGTGTACAAATTTTTAAGATGAAAAATTTAATAATTTTCCGGCAACCAAATCGGAGCAATCTTTCAATTTCTTTCAATTTTGATACACCGGAAGCATAATTCCGGTGAGTGATTCAAGGAGGGTGCTTCGAGGCGGGTTGACACATTGCCTGATGGCCTTAAGGCCCAACATAGCCTATTAGGGCCTTGAATAAAGTAGGCCCAATAGAACATATTTGGGCTAAGCCCACATTAATTAACACGATGAACAAAATTAAATAAAATGACAAATCATTAAATTATAATGATTATTTTATTCATGAAGCTTCTAAAGAAGCTAGAGTACAGTGTGAACAGAGCAGCCGAGTTGCGTACATTGAACTTAGACATATAGAGAGAATATCATTAATATGCTGACGCATATTATGATGTAAGCATTACATAAAGAGCATTAACATGTCGAACATGTAACATACATATCAGCTATTAACAGAGACACTTTCTTGATACTCTTCATAACAATAAACAATCGTCCACGATTGTTTAATCGACCTTTCTTTACATATTTATTAATCTTCCGAGGGTCTGTCCCCTGTTACAAAATATAGATCCTTGGATCGCCCCTCCACGTGTTGATGATCCAAGGAAAGATGAAATGACACTCCACTTTAATATCTATATAAGGAGATATTGCTCTATCCCTCTCATTTCATCTGTTGTGCTCTCTCTCCCCTCTTGTTGACATCTCTCTCATTTCTCTGAAATATAATTTCCGGTCATCGGAAATGGATCACTGGGAAGATCTTCCTTATGATCTTCAAGTTGATATTAAGAGAAAATATTATCATTCTTATGTGAAGGATGCCTTTGAAGAAAAGATGAAAGTTATCAACAATACATGGAAGGAAAAAGATGATATCACTGTTAGCTACTGCGTTATGTCTGAAGTTGCTAAATGTCAGGTTTTGTTTGAAAAACAAAATATTAAGATCCAGATTATTATTGATTGAGAGGGAATGATTTAGTCTGCCCATGAATATGTTTATATTCATTCATGGCACCTGGTTATGGCTCATAGAATATCTTATGAAGATTACAGAGCTGCTCGTTCTGTTGGTGATCTTGCAGAAGGACGTTACTACGTTTACAATGGTGAAGAATGGTGGTGTGTTTCGGATGCTGTCAAGATCCTTGATGAAGATGCTGTGACATTCTTTCTGAATTCTAATGGAGTCTATTGTTTTGATTACGAGACAGTAAAGGTTAATCTCATATGTAATGCTTACATCATAATATGCATTAGCATATTAATGATATTCTCCCTATGTCCAAATTCAATGTACGCAACTGGGTTGCTTAGTTCAATTTGTACTCTAGCTTTTTTAGAAGCTCTATGAATAAAATAAACATTATAATTTAATGACTTGTCATATTATTTAATTTTATTCATCGTGTTAATTAATGTGGGCTTAGCCCAAATATGTTCTCTTGGGCCTACTTTATTCAAGGCCCTAATAGGCTATGTTGGGCCTTAAGGCCGTTAGACAATGTGTCATCCTTGCGCTTGGGGTTATGTTATCCCAGCCCAAAAAATAAGAATAAAATCTTTACCACATGTACACGTAGACCTATACACCTGAGCTAGACACCTAGCACACATTTTGTCAACAGAATGCCAATGCACTATATCCTGTAACACCCCCAAACTGGTTTTATGAGAAAATATGTATCAAACTATGTGTCAAGGTATCTGCATATGATCTTGATCCAAAAAAAAAAAGAAGGTATCTGCATATGATTGTTCACATGCACACATACAAGGCAAACCATCTATGATACAAGTAAAAGGAAGGTAGCAAATTAACAGTAGTCGTTGCTGTTACAATACTTCAAAACAAAACCAGAATTCTTACATTTGCACCTTCTTTTAAGGAGATAAAGCAAAATTAGTTTCCTACATTGGTAGAATACTTTGCCATTTTACCCAGAACATCATTCATAAAGCATAACGGTCATTTAGCATGGCTTGTGTAAAGATATAAACAATCCCCTAGAACACTAAAATAGCAAGGATGCCAAGCATTAGAATGCCTATACAATATCATACTATACCATCATGACATAATGACCAAAAGAGAATCTCCTACGCAATTCTTTTGCTTTTTCATTTTTCTTTTTTCCCAGGAGGGGGTGGGCTTAAGCCTGTAACATCAGGTTACATGTACTTATGTTACACAAGACAAACATTCAGAATAGACAAAGGCAATCATACCTTATTACCAATTGCACGCCCAAAACCACAAGGAACTGCTGCAACATCAACATCTCCAACATGGCCTCTAATATTGTTTCTGACCCTGAAACATAATTCTTTAAGAATCAAATCTCAGACACTCAACCGTAATAAATTTGATCAATGTGGGCATCCCATACAGTATCATCAGCTTTACTTTTTTCTTTTTTTATTATATAAGTTTTTTTAATTTTATTTTAAGTAATCATACTAAGAAATGCATCTACAGGGGATGCAGCTCTTGTACAAAATAGTCAATGGCCATCAAAGCCCTAAGCCTCAGCAACCATACAAAACCAAAACGAAAGGCCTATACATTTGAAAACTCAAAAGAATGCCTATACACTCCTTACTTCTCAAAGAGTATCAACAAAATCTACAAGTTGACCAATGTTAGGGAACACCCTCTCCAAAGTCCAACTTAGCACTTCAATATATACAATGGCTCCTCAACTCCTCCAAACATCCTCCTTGAACATTTTTTTAAAATAAAATCAAGCAATCAACTTGGTTAATATGGAGAAACTATTATTATCACAAAAAAGATAGAAAAAAAGGATTCGGAAGTATAACAAGGGAAAAAATTGAGGTCAAACAACTTAGCCAGAAAACACCCTTATCTTAGATGATTATGAAGATTATGATAAAATAAACTCAAGGTAGAGGGTCAACTGAACCCCCAGGGAATTAGTTAACAGCTTTATTCCCAAATTATGTTAGCAGAGAGAGAACCAGAACCAAGATCCTCATAATAATACCCACCAAACAGCAATAAGCAAGCCTGCTAGCTGCCTGGAACCAACACGTTCAAAGGTTGACCCCTCATCCAAAGTTTTCCCTACCATATCCAGCCACCACTGTCCAGCAGAACTCCCCTCAAGACCTACCTGGATTATTAAAATAAATGAAAAATAAATAAATAGATGTACAGAGAAATAAGTAATCCACCAAAATAATAATAAATAAATAAAAAGATGGAATAAATTATGGAAATCTAGGATTTATATTAATTTGATTCCAAATAACAAACAGGCAACGATAATTGCCAAGAAAGAGCATGGTCACATGAACAAAGAGTATTTTCTTTTGTTATTTTTAAATTTCCATTATAGCCTTTGGATATAAGGACCACGTTGATACATCCTACAATCATTCCCAACCTTCTATTTTTCCTCACCTAGTGCTTATTTTCCAAGTATAATGATTTTTGGTTGCAGAAAAAGTTAATTATTATGATAAAAAAATTTCAACGTTTTCTATATATTTATTAGAGAAGAAATGAAGAGATTTCTTGACGGCAATTTTAGGAGACATGTCCATTAAAATTATGACACGACGATTGGTCCTATGGTCATGATGACTATTTGTAAAATGACATGATATTTAGTCCTAAAGTTGTGTTTTTCACATGTACCAATAAAAGGTTGGTGTGAAAGTGAAGTCTATTTAAAAAAAGGGAGGTGATGGTTAAGAGCTAAGAAGCGTGGACACAGATACGGATGCAGACACGGACACGGACACGGCGATTTCAAAAAAATGAGGGCACGGACATGGAGGGGACATGGTAATAAAATATCTTTCATATATTTTTATTTACTATTTGAATTAATATTACATCCACAAACAATCAATATTAACAAAAACTAACTCGATACGTCGACGAACAATCCAAGAAAGAGATGAATGATATTCTTGTTAGGATAAAGCGACGGAGACGTAATGTTCTCGGTGGAGTAGGGAAGTGGCCCTCGCCGGCAAATTCTATTCTTAAGGGGCCCCTCTTTTGCACTCCAAGAGATTAAAGAGGATCGAATTGGGCGTCGCCGGTTATCAATTGTGGAGCGAGGGCAAGGTCTTCGAAGGGCAATCATCCTTGCGGGTTTTGAAGTAGTTTGGTTTGTCGCGAGGCTCCAAAAGGCTTCACGAGATGTCGGTCGGTTGGCCTATCTAGGAAGACTTATTGGGGGCTGTCGGACGGTGGCAGTATGGGTCCGAGGGGAAGAGAATGGTGGGTTGTCGATGCAAATTGTGGCCACAACAGGAAGCAAAAGGGAGCAAATTTTCCTCCCAGATTCCAATTTTGGGGATGGGTGGGAGGGGCTTGCACTGGTTATTTAAGGCTTTGGCTTTAGGGATGGTTGGGCTAAGGCTAGAAGGGTGTTGAAGCGTGAGGTGGTAACAGAGGGAGTGCCCCTAACAAGACTGGTCGACTCTTAGTCAAATGAGCGTAATGACGTGGTGGTTACAGGGGGAGGAGAAGGGGTTTGGCTTCGGTTACTTGATAGGGCCTTGGTGGGAAGGGTGAGAAAGAAAGGTGAGGAGGGGCTAGGGATTTCTTCTATCACCGACTGGGTGCACCGCTGGTGGAGAGCATCGGGGAATGTGGAGGTGTCGAGTGTTGGAGGCTAATACTTCTTGTTCGTCTTCCCCTCGAGGCGAGAAGCAGCGTCGCTGCTGCGACAAAAGTGGACTCTTGCTAGGCGTGATCTTGTTTTGGAATGGTGGGCACCTACTGTTTTCTGTGCCTGACAATAGGCGATGACGTCGGCAAATGGTCAATGGATTCAAGTTCTGGGCTTACCTATTCATCTTCGTGGGCTAGTGACGTATCGAGCCATTGGGAACAGGTGTGGCGGTTTTTGGAGGTGGATGAGACGATGGATCTCCTGGGTTGTGTTCGTTTGAAGGTTCGAGGGTTGTCAAAAGGGCTCCCCACACAGATTTCAGTCTCGTGGGGCTCTTGGCGATTTTCATTGCCTGTCTGGTTAGAGATAGGACTGGTGGTGGAATCTGCTTCCCAGACGGCAGTAACGTGGCGTGGGAGTGCGACAACAAAGGAAGGCGCAGATTTGGCGCAGCATGATCGACGAATTTGGTAAAGATTTGGGGATCGTCCTACTGTGCAGAGATTTGGGTCCAAGAAATGGGGAAATCCACGCGCTGCATATCAGGGGAAAAGCTCAGCATTTGAAAGGAAGGCCCAGGGAAGTCGGACTTTGGGCTTGGGCCCAGTGGAACATAATGCTATGGTCCAAGCTGAGTCTTTCAAGAGTCAAGTGGGGGAGGGGGCTCAGTTGGGCCTAACTTTGATAAACCCCAAGGATCATTTGGTCCCATTGGCAGTTTCTGAGGTTGGGTTGCATCATGGGCTTAATGGGGCAAGTTCTCATCTAACGGGTTAGGTGATAGATCCCCTAGTGTGACGGATCTTCGAAGTTCTGCATCACGATGTGGGGTTGGGTTCGTCGGCTATGGATCAGCTTGCTTGCGTGCCGGGTGAAGTATCAATGAGGAAGTCAGATGTCGGCGGCAACAATGTTTTAAAAACCGGACCGGTGAGTGAACTGGAAAAATGATCGTGTGGACGGGTCACCGGTTCAATCGTCGGGTTGAATCGGAATCGAACCGTGACATCATAAATATATTAAAATTATATTTAAATAAAAATATAAGTAATAAAATTATAAATAAAAAATTTCAATAATCTTAAATATTTCTCTTAATACTTTTTTTATTAAAAAATATAAAAATATATTTAAAAATATTATTAATTTTAATTTTGGAAGAAGAAATCAAATATTCAATATTCCCTCCATATGATTTTAATTCAAATAATTTGATTGAAAGCAGAGCTTTTGGAGGGATATCAAAATTTTAAGTTTCCCTCCAATAAATTTGATTGAATCCCACATAGATTTCTTGAGTTTTTTTGGAAGAATTTTTTTCTTATAAATAGATAGAAGCTTTCACAATAATTTCAAGCTCTCAATGGGATTCCTCACAAGAGGAGACCCTTGAAAGAGAATTTCCAATTAAATTTTTATTATATATATATATGTATATATATAATATATAATATACATATATATATATATAACATAAGAAAGAAAGAAAGAATAAAAAAAGAAAAAAAAAAACAAAAAATTCGTTTTATCAACTCGGTGAACCGGAATCGGAACTGGAACCGGGTCGACCGGTTCGGCGGTTCAACTGCCGGTTTTTCCGGTTTCAAAAAAGGCCGGTTTTCCACTATGACCGGTTTAGTGGGTGTATTCGGACTGGAACTCCGACCGGTCGGCAGTTCAACCGGTTGAACTGGCCGGTTCGGTCCGGTTTTCAAAACCATGGGTGGCAAGGCCTGGGTCTGGATCTGGATCATCGGAGATGTTAGGTACCTTGAACGCGGTTTTAGGGGTTGCGAAGTAGCTGGAGCAGGTGGTATCGACTTCGGTATCGACTTCGGGTCTTTAGCTAGTGGTGCGCCATGAGTTAAATAGTGATGCGCCGAAATCTGGGTATCCTCTGGAGGCCGACAGCTGAAGCTTTCGGTCTGAATCTTCATCCTTTGAAGACGAGGAAGTGCCATCTGGATGGAAGCAACGTGGTGGGTTGTCGTGGGTTGATGGGGCTGCTTTTGATACTGAGGAAGGATTGACTCACTTGTTGCCGATGGTGGTACAGCCACTAAGTGTAGAGGTTGGCACACAGGGTCTTTACAAGTCTGAATTTGAAGTTGTCTCACAATGGTGCAGAGCTGGAAAGGAATGGGGTACCTTCGACTGAGGAAGTTTCGGATTGGGTGTTGGAACGAATCAGTGAGGTTAGTCGGTTATTGGGCCTGTCTTTCAAAGGGCATGAGAAGGAAGTGCTGCGTTCATTCTCAATGGTGAAGGAATCGTGGTAGAAAAGGACTCCTAGTAAGAAAGGGGTCAAACCAACAGAAACCAGTCGGAAAGGGAACTGGGAGCTTAAGAATCTTGCATGTTCCATTAATTATGAACACGGAGGGTCAAAGGTGGGATACGAATCTCAGAGAACTCGTAGGGGACTACTTATGTTGAAATGAGACTAAAAATTCTTTCTTGGAATGTGAGGAGTTTGAATGATAGGGACAAAAGGATGGCAGTGAAAGCAGTTTTGCGTAGTGCAAAAGCTGATGTGGTATACTTACAAGAGACAAAGATGGAAGTGTTAGGGGAGGTGGTGGTGCGCGATATTTGGGGAGGACGGTTTGTGGAGTGGTTCCACTTGCTAGCTACCGGTATAACAGGAGGGATACTTTTTTGTTGGGATTCCAAGGTAATTTTGCAGGAGGAAAAGGCGGTGGGCAGTTTCTCTATGTCTTGTCTGTTTCGATGTGTGGAGGATCAGTTTCAATGGGTGTTTACTGGGGTGTATGGTCCGATGCAGAATGTCGACCAAGGCGAGTTCTTGGCTGAGTTCGAAAATGTGGCTTTTCGTTGGTCAGAGCCTTGGTGCATGGGGGGTGATTTTAATATGGTGCAGTGGCCGACAAAAAGGGTGGGGAGCACTAGGGGGTTGCGATGGATGCGGTCTGTTTGTTCCTTTGTTGATGAGATGCAGTTGATTGATTTGCCTCTTCAAGGAGGGAGTTTCACTTGGTCGACTGGGCAGAGTCTGTCGCGGATTGATCGATTTTTGATTTCTGGAGGTTGGAAGGAGCATTTTTCGGATGTTGCTTAGATTCGATTACCTTGCCGAGTGTCGGATCATTGGCCCATTTTACTTGACAGTGGTGGGGTTCGGAGGGGCTGCACTCGGATGGTTTCTTGGAGAGGGTCCGAGGATGGTGGACTAGATACATGGTCATAGGTTCACCTAGTTGTTTGTTGGCTTAAAAATTGAAACTGCTTAAAAGGGATCTGAAAGGATGGAATAAGGAGGTGTTTGGTCGTTTAGAGGGCCAAAAGGCAAAGGTGGTGTCTTTACTCTAGTCCTTGGATGAGATAGAGGTTAATGGGGGCTTGTCGCCTGATGACGTTACTAGCAAGGAGGCAGCCAGACAGGATTATGTTTGTATCTCTCGTATGGAGGAGGTGTGCTTCAGGCAGAAATCCCGGTGTTTGTGGCTAAAAGATGGGGATCG